AGAATGAAAAGAAGAAGAAGAAGAAGAATGAATGAAAAGAAGAAGAAGAAGAAAAAGAAGAAGAAGAATGAAAAGAAGAATGAAAAAAGAAGAAGAAAAGAATGAAAAGAAGAATGAAAAGAAGAATGAAAAGAAGAAGAAGAAGAAGAAGATGAAAAGAAGAAGAAGAAGAATGAAAAGAAGAATGAAAAGAAGAAGAAGAAGAATGAAAAGAAGAAGAAAGAAGAATGAAAAGAAGAAATGAGAAGAAGAATGAAAAGAAGAAGAAGAAGAATGAAAAGAAGAATGAAAAGAAGAAGAAGAAGAAGAATGAAAAGAAGAAGAAGAAGAATGAAAAAGAAGAATGAAAAGAAGAAGAAGAAGAAGAAGAAGGAAAAGAAGAAGAAGAATGAAAAGAAGAAGAAGAAGAATGAAAAGAAGAAGAATGAAAAAGAAGAAGAAGAATGAAAAGAAGAATGAAAAGAAGAAGAAGAAGAATGAAAGAAGAAGAAAAGAAGAATGAAAAGAAGAATGAAAAGAAGAAGAAGAAGAATGAAAAGAAGAATGAAAAGAAGAAGAAGAAGAATGAAAAGAAGAATGAAAAGAAGAAGAAGAATGAAAAGAAGAAGAAGAAGAAAAAAAAAGAAGAAGAATGAAAAGAAGAAGAAGAAGAAGAATGAAAAAAAGAATGAAAAGAAGAAGAAGAAGAAGAATGAATGAAGAAGAAGAAGAAGAAGAATGAAAAGAAGAATGAAAAGAAGAAGAAGAATGAAAAGAAGAAGAAGAAGAATGAAAAGAAGAAGAAAAGAAGAAGAAGAAGAATGAAAAGAAAGAAGAAGAAGAAAAGAAGAAGAAAAAGAAGAATGAAAAGAAGAAGAAGAAGAATGAAGAAGAAGAATGAAAAGAAATGAAAAGAAGAATGAAAAGAAGAAGAAAAAGAAGAATGAAAAGAAGAAGAAGAAGAATGAAAAGAAGAATGTGAAAAAGAAGAAGAATGAAAATGAAGAAGAAGAAGAATGAAAAGAAAGAATGAAAAGAATGAAGAATGAAGAATGAAAAGAAGAAGAAGAAAGAATGAAAAGAAAGAAGAAAAATGAAAAAAAGAAGAATGAAAAGAAGAAGAAGAAGAATGAAAAGAAGAAGAAGAATGAAAAGAAGAAGAATAATGAAAAGAAGAATTCCAGTACAGCAAAAAGTGTATCTGCAGAGAGCTCCGCTATTAATATTCGGATTCGGTGCGAATCGAATTTTTCCTAATATTCTAAACGAATTCCACTTCGCCAAGTTCGATTCGCTCATCTCTAATGACAATGATGCAAAACACACATCTAAGGCCACTGTTGCATTTCTAAAGAAGAACAGGGTGAAAGTGATTGAGTGGCCAAGTATGTCTCCTGATCTGAACCCAATCGAACAACTATGGGGAATTCTGAAGAGAGTTCAGCATCTCTCTCCATCCAGCATACTGGTCTTCAACTCGATATTTTTACAAAGCGTTATTTGACCACCTTAATTGGGGTCAATTGTCCCTGGTGAGTGAGAAATTCACTTATTTTTGTCTGCATGTGGTGGGAGCGCACAAATTGGTTTCCAGAAACACATCTTCATGTGACAGTCACCATATATTTTGTGATCACTTTATACTATATTATGTATATTATTTGATATTTGATAGATGGTGTTTAGAGCTTTTTTTATACCACATCTGGTTTAGGACCTATTCGTTAATAGATGCGGAGAGAGGATTCTCTTCCAAATTTTGTTGCATGGTTGTTTTATTGCCTACCTATTCATGTTCATATACGCCTAAGTGTATTTCACTTTTTAGGGGCAGCTGTCAATCTTTATCGCCGGTGTATTACAGGTTTAAATTCATTCATCATTTATTATTTGAACACACAATCACATAGGCGCCACAATATTATAAGTTATTTGTTATTGCACACCTGTGATTCTTGGCCATTGTCAGGTTGCATTACCCAACTTCTATTGTGTTTAGAAAAAAGACAGCAGCTATACAATTTCCTTATACAACTTGGGTATACATGTATAAAGCTCAGGAAGACCAGGTTAACACACATGACTGGGTTCAACCATATTTACCCCTCACAATTCAAGTTCACAAATTCATGTTTTATAAAGTCTAATGGTGCCAGTTGTAGACATTTTTGTGTTGTCTCATTTTGGATGTATTAGTTCACTGAAGACTTTTGTTTTGTCATATTTGTTATGTTTTCGAATTTGTTTCATATCTTCTGCATTCTTTTTGCATATTTGTTGATCTGGATGGATTCGAAAAATGTTGCATTTTTTGAGGATTGCTATATATTGGATATATTATCAAGTCAGACAGATTCGAATTGGGAGGATTCGATATTTTCAGATGCTAGTCCAACTCACCAAGAGAAATGGTATGAAATGACTGGACAATATCGCCAGGGCGTCATGTGCATCCATATGATAAATGTTACTAGAACCTGTTTTGTTTTTTTTTTTGTTTTTTTTTTATTTATTTAACCAAATAAAATCCAGATGCTGGCAAACTTTAGCTAATGACTCCTAATGGAATAAAAACATGTGGGGAAAATCTGAAAACAAAGATTTTGCAGAGAAAGAGTACATTTAGAAAATTGGTATTTCCACATTGTGTTTAATAATAAAATTTAAACATTTTGCCTCATTTATCCATCAAATGTTTTTTTAATAGTACTGTAGGACATCTAGGTTTTATGCTTGGTTCACATATGTGCAGGTGGTGCCGCTGCAGATCCATAAGAAAATCCGTGCAGCAGCACCACCAGCACAGAGGAATGCGGACCTGCGGGTGGGTGCCATTAGTTTTAATGGCACACCAACCGCACTGGAAAACGCAGCCATACTGGGAACCGAGGTTCCCTTGCGGGCTGTGTTTTCAGAAGAAGTGCAGGGACTTCTTCCCTGCGTGTCACGATGCACGGGAGTCCATTCAAATGAAATGGGCTCTCGTGCCCACGCAAAACTCGGCCCACACGCATATATGTGCACCAGGGGTTCGAGCTGATTCACACATGTGCGGGTCAGATTGAAGCTCAAGTTTCACAGCTGAGTGCTGATTCACACATGTGCAGTGCGGATTAAAGCTCAGGTTTCACAGCTAATTGATACAGTAGTTGTTCAGGGGTTCATGTCAGGTTTACATCAGGTTCAGGACAGGATTAGCTCAGGATTTTATCTTATTCACATAGGTGTAGAAATGGTTCCCATAGAAGTCAATAGCCTGTAATCTGCACCTGAACCTGAGGCACTGCTCAGAAATCGTACAAGACTTTTTTTTAAAACTGCACTCAGCTGAATCTGCAGTGCACCAGACATTCAGTTGCTAAATGTGGAGTTTTGCATGAATTGGGCATTCAGCTGAGTCACAACAATAGAAGAACACAGTCTGCAGGTTTAGATGTTGCCATGGTTTAATTGCACATAACATGTAAACATTCACAGTGCAGGGAGGAAAAAGTATGTGAACCTTTGGACTTAATAACTGGTTGACCCTCCTGGCAGCAATAACCTCAACCAAACGTTTACCTGTAGTTGCAGATCAGGACCTGCTGATCAGGATTTTATCAATATTCACTGGTGTGAATCGTTCTCTTATGCCACAGGGGTAGAAGGACTCTGACTGGGCCACTCCAGAAGGCATATTCTGTGCTGTTGCAAAGTGCCATTGTTTTGTTGAATTACTTGTATGCCATTGTCCTGTTGCATCACCCATCCTCTGCGGAGCTTCAGTTGGCGACAGATGGTCGTACGATTTCCTGCAAAAGTCATAAAACTCTGGAATTCATTTTCCCATCAGAAATCCGTCGGCCCTGAGGCAGCAAAGACTGATGCTCCCTTTTTTAAATGAGTTTTGATGTTGGTGTGCTGCACACATAGTGAATCAATCTTGGTTTCATCTGTCCACAGTGAATCTGCCAGTGCTGCAATCCAGGCTTCCTCCGTGGTGTCCTCCCATGTACATTCTTGTTTATGTTTTCCTTATTGAGATGTGTCAACAAAAATGTTAGCATGTGCCAGAGATTTCTGTAGGTCTTTAGCTGAAGCTTCTTTACCTCATGCAGCATTCTGAGCTGTGCTCTTGCAGTCATTTTTACAGGACACCATGCCTAGGGAGAGTAGCAACAGTGCTAAACTCTCTCCATCTGTCTTAGCAGATTTTGAGATGGCTTCATGCTGTTCTTGATCAAGCTCTTTTCTGTGAGGCATGGTTCACATCCTTCTACAGTAAACCCAAAACAGGTGTGTGTTTTTTAATGGGCACTTAACACAAATATCATCACACTGATTGGAGACCTGGCTCCAAGGGCACATCTAATACATCAACATCTGTGTAGTTCTGGAGAGATTGTTGTGACTTAGATGACGTTCAGAGCAACATTTTATGCCCAATTCATGCAAAACTCCACGTAATCCCAAGGGGTTCACATACTTTTTCTCTTGCAACTGTATGTGAACAGGCACCATAGGAAGCAATGGTATTTCACATGTCATGCAAATTGGATGCTGTTCAAACCTCAAGTGAATGGGCACTTAAGCACAATTGACAAGGGCACATCTAATACATCCTGTGTAGTGATGGAGAGATTGGTGGGAGAAGCCACAGAGTATAGCAGGAAACCCAAGAGATTCGGCAAGGATTTCACTTAAAAAGAACAGCAATCGGTGCTGAAATCAGTTTTATTACTGACAATATTGCTTTAAAACTTGCCTACCAGGCACTTATACCCCCTTCCTGCCCAGGCCAATTTTCAGCTTTCAGTGCTGTCGCACTTTGAATGACAATTGTGTGGTCATGCAACACTGTACCCGTATGAAATTTTTATAATTTTTTGAGACAGAGCTTTCTTTTGGTGGTATTTAATCACCTCTGGGTTTTTTATTTTTTTGCTAAACAAACCAAAAACAACTGAAATTTAAAAAAAAAAAGTTTTTTTTTTAGTTTCTGTTATAAAATGTTGTAAATAAGTGATTTTTCTCCTTCACTGATGTCCACTAATGAAGCTGCCTTGATGGGCACTGATAGGTTGCACTGATAGGCAGCGCTAATGGGTACTGATGAGGAGGCACTGGTAGTGATGGGCATTGGCAGGCATCACTAATGAGCACTGGCAGGCAGCACTCATATATGGCACTGATAGGCAGCACTGATGTGCACTTATAGGCGGCACTGACTGGCACTGATAGGTGGCACTGATTGGCAGCACTGATAGGTGGCACTGTCTGGTATTGATAGGTGGCACTGATAGGTGGCACTGAAAGGCAGCTCATATGAGCACCGATATGTGGCATTGATGTGCACTGGTAGGCACTGATATGTGGCATTGATGTGCACTGGTAGGCACTGATATGTGGCATTGATGTGCCACTGATGGGCACTGGCAGGTGGCATTGATGGGCAATGACAGGTGGAACTGCTAGGGCTACACTGATCATCAGGGCACACTGATCATCAGTGCCCTGATGATCAGTGTAGATGTTCGTTCTGAGTAGTGCCGATTAAGTGACAGCTCGTGAGGAGAGAAATGTAGATGCATTTCCTTAGCTACATGCGATCAGCTGTGATTGGACACAGCTGATCACATGACAGAGCTGACGTCTTCAGCTCTTTCCGTTGATCAGTGATCTGCTGTGTCCCAGCGATCGCCGCGCTGTGCACCCCCCAGGGGCACGCATGCGCATTAGAGTGGGAGGACATCATATGTTGTCCTCCCAGAATGAGAGAACCGCCTTGCGCCCGTCATTTCCTTATATGGCAGGCGGGAGACGGTTAAAGATTTATGACCACTAGACATGTGTACGCCAGAAATGTTAGTTTCGATTTAGATGCATTGATTCATTAAAGTATATCGTTTGATCATATTCGTTATGTTGAACTGATTTGTTTTCTAAATTAATTTTGTGTATTCCTTGGTCTAAAAAAAATAATTGCAGTTTTCCCAGCAGATTGCTCTATATTCAATATATTATTGAATTGGATGGAGTTGGATTGGAAGGATTACATATTTTCACATGCTAGTCCAACCCACCAAGAGAAAAGGCATGAGCTGATTATCGACTGGCGTCATGTGCATCCATATGAACGAATGGAACGAAATGTGGATCCATTCATTATGCAATTATCGAACAAATTTGAAATTTGAATTCTTTTCCCCATGATCCCAAACTACTATTACATTATTTGACATAATCTGAATTAAACAAATGCATTAGTTAATTTCGCTATAACTTTTTTCATTGACATGCATTCTGTCCATTCAGAGATTTGTATACATCTGAATCTCCAAAAATGAAATTTTCATCTGGAAATGAATTGTAATGAAACAAAACACACGTCAATTGACAATATATAAATGGTAATCACACATGGTGAATGGGTACTGGCAGGGCTGCTGTTAGAAACCATGGGGCCCCATACAGCCAAACTGACAGGCCCCCCCCCCAAAAAAAAAACAGTTTACTATGCTTCAGTTATGAATGAGCACAGTGGGTGATCAATTCCGATCACTCATTTTGTTTATTCAGGAAAGGAAGGGGCTGGTAAATGTGACATATTTACCGGACCCTTCCCCCACTCTCTACCCTGAAGCATCCTATCGTGTGCTCTCAGCTGCCAGTGGGAAGGAGAAGAGGGAAGCTGGCAGCACTGTGAGGGCACGCAGGAAGGCCTGGACAGGACAGCAGGAAGAAAAATATGGTGCACAGGGGAGGGTGATGAGTGTGGCAGGGGGGAAATACTGGAACCAATCCATTGTATGGCCCTCTCTGCAGCAGCTGAAAGCCATGTGGAGGGATCGGAGAAGAAGCCAGCTTTCAGTTGCTGCAGAGAGCCATACAGAGGATCACGTCCAGTAATTGCCCCCCCGCCATGCCCATCACCCTCTCTGCCCACATCTGATTCACCCATCTGCCTGGGCACCCATGCTGGCCTGGGCCCTGTACAGGAGGTCTGTTTTTCTCCCTCTTCCACGGCCCTGGGTACTGGGGTGCCATTCATAGAATGCTTTGTATTTTCTGAAAGCAAAGCATTCTCTGATTGGGCAAGGTGGAGAGTGTGATATCAGTGTCCAGTCTTTGTACAATCAAAGGATGCTTTGCATTCATTTAGAGAACACAAAACATTCAATCAATGGTGCCCATGCTGAGTGGCTGACCTCCTGTGTTCAGATTGTGGCAGTGTAGCCACTCTGCATGGAACCCAGAAGCAAGTGGAGATCATAGCAGTAGTGGTTTCTACGTCAGGGGCATCAGCCAGGTATGGCATATACTGTACATAGTTACATTGGTCCAAGCTTTTCCAATGTAAAAATATACCATGCCTGGAATTCTTCTTTAAAATTCAGCTCCTGTTCACTTAATAGGGTTCAGACTCCACTTAAGTATGATTCATCAAACCAAACTCAGGTACGTTCATCTCATGGGCAGAACACCCACATTTTCTGTTCGCGGTCGTACATTCGGACCTAATGAATGTTCAACTGCAAACTTCGAACTTAATGCAAGCCTATCGGACTTGAACTTGTAAATTCAAAAGTGCCCATTTTGAAGGCTTATATTATTATTATTATTATTATTATTATACAGGATTTATATAGCGCCAACAGTTTGCTCAGCGCTTTACAATATAACGGGAGACAATACAGTTCAATACAAGAGGTATTATATGCAAGTTATTGGACATATTGGTCTCGGGTCCCCATGTCCCTGAGAGACATGAATCAGTTAAAAAAAAAAAAGAAAAATTCAGAAATTACCATTTTTAAAGGGGCAGTGCTTTTTCATTGGTTAAAGTAAAAAAAAAGAAAAATTCCTTTAAATATCATGCCTGGGGGGTCCCCTTAAACTACCTGCAAAGTTGCACATCTGTAAAATGTATAGAACTTGCTGGAGCAGGAATGAATTTTTTTTTTTTCATTTTTATTAAGAAAAAAAAAGAGGGACCCCACAGTAATTTTTTTTTTTTTAAAGTGCGTGGGGTTCCCCCTAAAAGCCATACTAGGACTTTTAAGGGGAACCCCACCCCCCAAAAATATGGAGGGAAAAGTGTAGGGTCACCCCTAAATTCCTACAGAGAGCCAGACCTAGCAGGGCATGCAAGGGAGGCCCCCCCCCCCCCCCCCCCCCCCGCTTCTTACCAGGTCCATATGCCCTCGGCATTGGGGCAGTGTCCCCATGCCAATGAGGTCAAGGGCCTCTTCCCCTAAACCCTTTCCCGAACTTACGTTCGACTCGAACATCCAGCCCATCACTAGTCCGGGCTCTGCATAATGCTTGGTTTTTGTAGCAATGAGATGAGGAATGTAAAGCTTTATGTATAAGATTTATATAGCATCCAAGTGTTCTTTTCAAGTGATGGCAGATATTTTTACTTACACACTTGCTCCATATTTGCTCCGTGTTTACACTTGACGTATCTATTCCACCGGATTTAGGGAGGAATTTCTGTCCCACAGACATGTAGTCTATGCACTGCATTCAGGAAGAATTTCATTAGTGTTTTCTGGTGTGTAAATGTTCCCTGTTATAGATGCGCCTTGTGAAGTCTGTAAGAGGAAAGCAATTTACAGCACAGCTGATGAAGTTTTGCAGTGCTGACCCTCCGGAAGTAGGACTATGAATCCATCACTACAGCCTCACCCAGCAAGAAGCCAGGGGGTGGAACAACTGCTCAGATTGTTGGAATATTCCTAATGAAAACTTAGCAACAACACCTATACTTGTTCCTTATTTATGGACAGTTGGCTTCTTAAAAAATATGACAGAAATGCACATAGACACATAACACTGGGAAAACCAGCTCTGCCTGTAAACACTGAGCTGGAACAGTTTAAGTTCTACTTGAATATATTATTATTATTACTATTAATATTGAGAAGCTAAAAGTAATACAAAAGTGGGCACAACTTGTTTATTGACTAAAAATCCCATATGGAAGAAACATATATTTTAAAAATATTTATTCTCAGATATATTGCCATATATTTGAAATACTCAATACTCATATTCAATATATTTCAAAATATATTAAAATAAATATATAGTATTCCCCCAGCCCATGCCCCCTCCCCTGACTTCTACATCAAGATCAATAACGCAATCATCAGTCCCTCCCCTCATGCCAGGGTACGAGGTGTAATCCTAGACTCCCATCTGTCCTTTCAGCCCCAAATCCAATCACTGTCTAAATCTTGTAGGCTTCACCTCCAAGATACGCCCGTTCTTAACCTCGGAAACCACTAAGCAACGTATTCACTCCCTTGTTATATCTCGCCTTGACTATTGTAACTCCCTCCTCATTGGCCGACCTCATCACAGACTATCCCCTCTTCAGTCTATCATGAATGCTGCTGCCAGAATCATCCACCTTACTAACCGTTCTGTATCTGCCACCCCTCTCTGCCAATCCCTCCACTGGCTTCCCATTGCCCAACAGATAAAATTCAAAACACTAACACTGACATATAAAGCCATTTATAACTCTGCCCCAAATTACATCACCGATCTTGTCTCTAAATATCACCCAAACCGTACTCTCTGCTCCTCGCAAGACCTCCTACTCTCTAGCTCCCTTGTCTCCTTCTCCCATGCTCATCTACAGGACTTCTCCAGAGCTTCCCTCATCCTCTGGAACTCTCTACCCCAATTTATCAGACTATCACCTACTCTGCTCACTTTTAGGTGATCTCTGAAAATCTATCTCTTCAGGGAAGCCTATCCTGCCCTCAGCTAATACTGGAATCTTCTACTCTTCCAACCAGTCCATCCCCCACAGTTACTAACGTTTGTACCACTAACCCCTCCCTCCTAGATTGTAAGCTCCAAGGAGCAGGGCCCTCAAATCCCTCTTGTATTGAACTGTATTATTGCTGTATTGTCTCCCGTTATATTGTAAAGCGCTGAGCAAACTGTTGGTGCTATATATAAATCCTGTATAATAATAATCATGCATATTGAAATGTGTTTTTATTGCAAAATATATGAAAAAATATTTTTAAAAATACATTTCAAATATACTGTGTCTTTAAAAATACAAACTACATTTTTGGAATGCATTTACAAATATATGTAAAAA